CGGGTGATCCTGGAGCAGGTCATGGACAGGGCTCTGTCTCGCAGGCTTAGAGCTTAAGATGGTGACAAGGTTCACCGTTTAAAGTTTGATGGGTTTAAGTTTCGGAACAAAGCTTAAAGATTTCGGGGTTTTAGGCTTAAGTGGTTTTAACGTTCGCGGTGACTGCGGCGTTGATGGTGAGGGCGAATGAATATCTGCAAAGCTTCTTCAGGAGACGACGTGTAAAAAGGGCTTCGTCTTCAAACCCTTTAATTCGGCTCTGTCGAAGAATTCGTCCCCAAAGCACGAGCTACAGCAGGTCCAACAGTGCAAGTAGCTGAATCAACTCGCGGCCCAGACTTCGAACCGTGTGAATGAATTTCTGTACTTGCTTGTCTAGTTGCATACATAACCGACATGGAGATGTGCGGGTGTGCGTACTCGCATGTGTATTTCTGTGTATGTGTATGTGTATGTCTGTAAATGTGTCTATATACACCTATATAGATTTCCATTTGTTGTTTTCTCGTTTGTTTATTTACATACACACACACACACATAATCCGTGCTCCGTATAATTAATGAATACCCCTATATTTAACGGCGTTTTTTTCCGGAAATCCTGGTTTGAAAAACCCGCCAAATTTAAGGGAGGAAATTTCGCCCCTTTAACCATTAAAAGAAATGGAGTCGGCGATGGGAGTTAGGAACCCATAGTTTACTACTTTACTGCAATTAGAGGCTTAGTAGAGGCCTAAAACTTACTGCCTTACTGCAATTAGAAATTTTCTAAAGGCTTAAAATGTACTACTTTACCGCAATTAGAGGCTTAGTAGAGGCTCAAGATTTTTTTACTTCACTGCAATTAGAGGCCCAGTAGAAACCTAAAACTTACTACTTTACTGCAAATAGAGCCTTAGTAAAGCTGAGGAAGGGGCTTCTCTTTCACTCTCTCTCTCTCTCTCTCTCTCTCTCTCTCTCTCAGTCTCTGTCTGTTGCACTACAGTATATCTCCGGCTACTCATTGGGAAAACTGAACTGCTAAATGCTTGGCGGTCCTTGGGGTTCACGAAGATAAGGGTTCCGGGTCCCGGGACCACAGAATCGCGGAGACGTTGAAAGCCGCCCCACTGCACCTTCGGCTGTTAGGGTCGAAGGCCTAAAGCTTAGGGTATAGGGCAGAGGTTTTTTGCTTAGGAGCCGAATTTACCTAATTTGGAAACGTCATCGAGTTAGGATGGGGTTGCCAAGGTGTCGGCGGGCGGATGGCTCTCATGCGAAACTTGGAGAGGAGGGGCGAAAGCCTCGCTGAATGGTTCTGGTCATGACAAACTTACATGAACAGGATGCCACTGGAAACCAAAGCTCACTGCATTCTACAATCAACCATGGTCTGCAGTATGGTGTTTGCGTAGATCTCGCCGCATTTTTGCATGTGTACATACAGCCTGCAGCCGTAACATACAAATTCCAGCATGAGGAGCCAAGCACCGACTACTCAAATACTCCGCAAAATAAGTCTACAAACTACAATCCTTAACACCTACAATCCCTTCGATACTTTTTTGACATCTTTATAGATCCTAAACAGTCTTCCGCCAGGCCACCAGCGAGCGGGAGATGTGTCCCGTGTTTCCTGGGCTCTTGCTAAGGTATGTGATCACAAAAAAATGGATCTATAGTAAAATTATATCGTTTCCTTAACAGGTATATGAAACTTAAACTACTTCACAAGAGCCCAGTCTCCCAGGCTTGCATCGGATGGCAGCCTACCAGAGCCCTGAGAGGAGAGGCGTTGGTCGTTTGATGGTGTGGAACCGACCTCGACAGGGGTGATCTACAGGCGCCTTCGTAGCCAGAATAAGGCTAATTTAAGGGTTGTTTGCATAAGGATTTCTAGAAGTCATAGCGGTTCTAGTGCGGTTCTATAATAAGTTTATGTGCCTGAGCGACCAGAAGAAAGGTTGGGCGCGGACCGTCGTGTCACTCATTCTTCCATCCCTTCATTATGGGGTTTTATAGGCGGGCCTTCATTATGGGGCTTAGGAGGGTTTGAGGGAGGCTTGAAAGGGCTTGGGGTATTTTTACTGCGGACGCTACACACATCCAATGCTGTGTTGCTGGGCGAAACCAGCTCCCGGCCAGGCCTGCAAACATGCTCGATGTTGGGCTAGGGTTTGGGGTTTAGGGTGTAGGGTGTAGGGTTTAGGGCGTAGGGTTTGGGGTTTCGGGTGTAGGGTGTAGGGCGTAGGGTTTAGGCTTATAGGGTGTAGGGTGTAAAGCTTTGGGCTTAGGGTCCCGGAATCTACTCGGCTGCTGGAAAGTTTGGCTCAGGGACCTCAAGCTCAAGTTTGGTATCCCTGAACCCTAAACCCTGTAAGATATATATATATATACATATTATATATATATATACATACACACACACACACACCCTCAACCGTTAAAGCAGTGGACCCGTCCTCGTTCTGCTCCTCGGCTTCTTGACCCCTGCGACGCCTTGAAGAGCCTGGTCCCGGCAAGGCCAGCAACGGATCCCGCGCCTCGTCTTTCCTGGGCTAGGTTTAGGGGTTTAGGGTTTAGGGTACCTTATTTTGGGGTCCTTATAATAAGGATCCTACTATTTAGGGTACTATGTTAGGGTCCCTTGCTCTTCAGGGTACCCATGCCGGAAGCTCTAACTGCATTCGCATAGTAACGATAATAAGATGCTTTTGAACCATCATGCATACCCTTACCCTACAATACTGTTCCTTTCTCATGCTTATCTACATGTAATGTCCTGAATAACAATAGAACAAACGGAAGAGCACCTGAAATCGAACCAGGATCTCTTCGAGCGGATCCCTGGCGCGTTCCTTGTGGGACTCTGAACCACGGTGCTCTGCGTCGCCTGCCATCGCCTGACTCAAGTCCCGGACCAGGCCCGCCTCGCTGCCCAAGTCTTCCGAGCTCGCTCTGCTACCATCGGAGCCGTCAGCTTCTTCCTCCTCCTCCTCCTCCTCCTCCTCTGCCTCCTCTGCCTCTTCTGACTGCTCCTCCTCTACCTCCTCTTCTGCCTCTTCCTCCCAAACGCCCCACCTGACCAGTCACTCTGAACAGGAAGCCTCGATAGTTCGGGCTTCAGGGCTCTGTTTATTGACTCTTTTCACCAGCTCTTACCTCCATGGTTTCAATGGTATTTTAGGGGTTCAGCGTAAAATCTTCCTGTCTCGGTCACGCAAGCCTCAACACGAATTCTTGCTTCAAGCTCTAAACTAAACTCCATTCCCCGAAAAGCGTAAAACCTGAATGCTATCACTTCTCAGCTCCAAGTACTCAACCTGATTGTACTTGTCAAAGCCTAGACCAGGGTTTAGGGTTTTCGAGAATACATAGGATTTCCGTACTTGGCTTGGTATTGTGTTCCTTGATTCTTTCTATCCCCTGATCCCTACACCCTAAACCCTAAACTCTGAATCCTAAACCCTAAGCCCTAAACCCTAAACCCTGAATCCTAAACCCTAAACCCTAAACCGTAGTTTCAAAAAAAAACAAGTTCCGGGCCTTTCTCTCTGCTCCCACCTCGGACTTCCGGACTTCGCCTGGACGCCGTCCTCTGGCGAAGGCTCGGACGTGGGCTCCTGAGCTCTCTTTCCTTTTTGGTTTGGGGTTTATAAGGGTTTAAGGGTTTAGGGTTCAAAGGTTTAGGGTTTAAGGGTTAAGGGTTTAAGGGTTTAGGGCTTAAGGGTTTTAGGGTTTAAGGGTTTAAGGGTTCAGGGTTTAGGGCTTAGGGTTTCCCTAAACCCTAAACCCTTGAACCCTAAACCCCCAAACCTTGTTGTTTAGGGTTTAAAGTTGATGTCTATCTCTCTCTCTCTCTCTCTCTCAATCTCTCTTTCTCGTTATTTCTCTGGAGGGCGCGGCGAGGGGTGGGATGGGTGGGATGGCCCAGGGCTTAGGGTCGTTTGGGGTCAAAGGCGCGGGAGTCTAGGGGTTTTCGGGCCCCACAGTACGCATATAGGGACTACATGGGACTACTTTAAGGCCAACGTATACATTATTTGGGTACAGGGACCCTTAGGGTTATTAACTGACTGGTTTTGTAGGGCGTCATTTACACCATATCACGGCGTGGTCGAAGGATTTTTTCTCAGGATATCAATTGGGTTTCGTCAGGCTGTTTCGGATCTGGGACTTCATGGGGCATGGGCATGGGTGTACAAGTATGTGCTAGGCTTGCCTTTGGCTCTAGGGCTTCTAGTAGGGGTTGGGCACTCTTGTTGTCCTTTGCCTCTTTGAGGACCCTGCAAACAATGATCCGCAACAACGAAAGAAGCCAAGTACGAGAACGGGCATGGGCAAAACGCTCAGAGCATCTTGGGGCAAAGCTTTGAGTGAAGGACGCTGAGACTGCGGGAGTGAAAGTTTGCCACACGACCATCAGGCTTTGGATTTCTGACGACTGGCCCTAAACCCTAAACCCTAAGCCTTGAGTATTGCATTGTTAAGTCGCGTGATGGCTTTAAGCAGTGCACCTGGCTGAGCCGACTGTCACTTTATGGGCTGCATCTTACCCCGCAGTCCTGCGGATGCCCAAATGTTGAGAGTAGTAATGTACCAAAACATCACAAACTATGCATAAGGGCGATAGTCATAGCATGAAAAATATATACCCCTACACCGTAAACGGTCAGCCGTAAACCCATGAACCTTCATCATAAAATTACTCCCTACGCACGCATCCCTGCAACCCAGACAATACACCCTAAGCTATGCAATGAAACTCTACTGTAGTAGGTGCCTGAAATAATTAGGAAAAGCTTTCCTGAAGCCGCCCTAGACCCTAAACCCTTAAACCCCTAAACCCTAACCCCCTAAACCCTTCAGCCGGGCAATGCCCAAGGCTCCCGTGGCTTCCAGGGAGGATCGGCCAGCAAGGCTGAGAATTCCACCTGCCTCGGGTGGTTTTCGATTTAGGGTTTAGGGTTTGGTGGTGTTCGATTTAGTGTTTAGGGTTTGGGGTTAAGGGCTTATAAGGGTGTACTTAAGGGTCAGCCTTGATGAGTGTAAACCGCCCAAACATCCCTACAGCAACCCAATCCACACTAAATCCCCCCTTGGACCCCGAAGCTAAACCCTAAACCCTAAACCACACTAAATCCCCCCCCCCCCCCTGGACCCAAAACCTGCCTTGGATGTCGATCCAACAGTCCCGTAAAATCCAGGGAGTGCGGAGGATACTTCCAAATCTCCTCGAGGGCTTTAGGGCTTCGGGGCTTAGGGGGGCCAGGGGTGAAGACTTTAGGGTTTAGAGGTGTGCCTAGGTATATATGAGGTTTTATCAGACTTTACAGTATGGAGGCTTTATGTATTTCCATATTTGCAGGGCGTTTTAAAACGGCTTGAAAAAGGTTGCATAAAACTTTCTAGTGTTTGTAGGGATTTCTTTGCGGGTTTTGCACAGTTTTTGGGACCCAAGGCCAGTGGCGGAAGGGTCCGGGTAAGCACAACCCTAGGACTCCACGGTAGCTCCTTTGTTTGGGTTTAGGGTTTAGGGTTCAGGGCTTGGGTCTTTTTGTAAGTGTAGTGGCACCGGCATATACTGTAAAGGAACCCATAAGGGAACCCTTGAAGAAATCCTTAAAGGAACCCTGGCGGGCACATGGAACTTTAAGGGAACTGGGAAGCTCCTCGTTCGGTATCTTCGCCTTGCGCTTTCCGGGCTTCTTGGGTGACTCCCATGGGAAGGGCAGACGCAAGGTCGGTGCCTCCTCAACCTCTGCAAACTCCTCCTCACTTTCCTGGGTGCTGTTTTGGGTTGAGAGGGGTTGGGGGTTAAGCTTTTGGGTCTTTCCTGGGAGCTTGCTAAGGAAGGATTAGGGTCTAGGGCTTAGGGTTTAACAAGGGCTTAAGCGGGGCTCAGAGTTTCTGTGAGTGTATATATATATACATATCTGTGTGTGTGTGTATATATGTAACCGTAACTTGGTAGCTTAACTTCAACTCCTTAACAAAAAACCCAGCTTCCTCACTCATGGGCTTCTGCTGTGCTTCACGAATTTCACGGTCCATGAACTTGCCGAAGTCGATGAGAAGATGCAGGTGCACCTCTGGCCCTTCTGGCACCACGGAGCTCAGCTCCGCCTGGTTTAGGGCTTTCAGGGTTTAGGGTTTAGAGGGCTTATGGGGCTTATAGGGTTTAGGATTTATAGGGTGTATAGGGCTTATGGGGTTTAGGGTTTAGGTTGCGGGCTTCGGGGGTTGATGGTTAAGTAAGACTTAGAGGGTTTCTGGTTTGGCTTTAAAAGGGCTTAAGGTCAATCAGGGCCTATCGGGCTTGCAGGGATCAGGTTTTTGGAAAATTAAGCGCCTCCAGGTCATCGAGCACCGGGAGGGTGCCATCGGGACCCAGGGCTGGAAGCTGCAGCGTCTGCTCCTCCAGCGCATAGCCTGACTGCTCCATCAGATGCATCCTCACCTCACGCATTGTCCAGGAGCGATCCGCAGGAATCACCCACTGCCTCCCCGAATCGTCTGAGATGACTACCTTCACTGGGTAGGACACGGTCACCTGACGGGGTTACGAATTGTCGAGTCAGAACCCATTAGCTACTTCTGGCAGAACCCATAGCTACTTCTGGCATAACTTTCATGTTCTTCACGTTTCAATGGAGTCCCTTTCCCTTCAAGGACTAGAAGAGTTCACAGCACCCATTCCTGGTCTCCGCGCTTCAGTGCTGGTGCACATGCAGGCAAAGGTAAGCACATGCATGCATGTGTATCTGTGCGCACACAACATAATACATGACATGCTGTTCACATATGTACATAGATACACGTATACATGGATACACGCGCGCACGCAGGCGCGCACACACACACATATTTAATATGTATATATATATACACACATACATATACAGATACATATACATAGACATATACATGCATATACGATATACATATACATATACCTGTATATAAACTTTAAACAAAACATAAACCTATACATATACATATACTTATACTTATACTTATATTTATACTTATACATATACATATATTTGTACATATATTATATATGTATGTTGCGTGTATGCACGAACGCATGTATCTATATATGTATGCATGAAGATAGATGTATGTACGATTGTAAGTAAGTAAGTAAGTAAGTAAGTAAGTAAGTAAGTAAGTAAGTAAGTAAGCAAGCAAGCAAGTAAGCAAGTATGTATGTATGTATGCATGTATGTATGTATGTATGTATGTCTATGCATGTTTGTTTTCATATACATATATGTATATGTATGCATGTATGTATGTACATGTACGTGTATTTGTACATACATACATACATACATACATACATACATACATGCATACATATACATACATACACACACATACACATACACATACACATACACATACACATACACATACACATACACATACACATACACATACAC